AGATTACGAACCGTAACAATTTGAGAGTCCTGAGCTGTAGTCACCCCAAATGAACAGAACGGAGCTCGTTCCTCCCGGGGCGTTCGGGGACGTCTACAGCAGTGTATTGTGATGCTTCACGAGAGGGTTTGGGTTGTATGTTGATGGAAGAGGGGAAAGTGGTAGCCTATGGCTCACTGCAGTTGAAAACACATGAGAGAAACTACCCTACACATGACCTAGAGTTAGCAGCTGTGATTTTTGCTTCGAAGATTTAGAGGCACTACCAGTATGGTGAGAAGTTCGAGGTGTTCTCGGATCATAAGTGTCTGAAATATCTGTTTACACAGAAAGACTTGAACTTGAGGCAGAGGAGGTGGATGGAGTTTATTGAGGATTACGACTTCGAGTTGCATTACCATCCCGGGAAGGCCAATGTTGTGGCCGATACCCTTAGTAGGAAATCCATTAGTGATGTAGCTTGTATAGCCATCCGGGAGTGGCTAATGTTGGGTGCACTTGGCGAGTTTGATTTACTTCTGGGTGAATCTGTTGAGTCTGTGGCCTTGTTTTCTGTAGTTGCGTAGCCTACGCTTGTGAATCAAGTATTAGAAGCACAGAGGAGTGACCTTGAGGTAGAATCCCTCTGAGAGAAGATCTCCCGTGGAAAGGTTGAGAAGGGTTTGACTGTGTATCCCGACTTGAGTGTGAGGTACCGAGACCGCCTGTTTATGCCGGAGTCTTGCCGAGAGGAAGTACTCCGAGAGTTTCACCATTCACGCCTTGTAGTGCATCCAAGAGGCACTAAAATGTATCGTGATTTGGGTCGCCAGTTTTGGTGGCGGGGTATAAAGAAAGACGTGGCAGTTTTTGTATCTAAGTGCCTTACTTGTCAGCAAGTGAAGGCCGAACATCAGAGGCCAGCGGGTTTGTTACAACCCTTGCCTATTGCCGAGTGGAAGTGGGAGCATGGCACGATGGACTTCGTTGTAGGTCTTCCGAGGACTCATTGAGGTAGTGATGCTATTTGGGTGGTCGTGGACCGGTTAACTAAGTCGGCACACCTTATCTCTATGCTCGTGAGAGATTCGGTAGATCATCTTGCCGACTTGTACATTCGGGACATAGTGAGGTTGCACGGGGTCCCAGTGTTGATCGTCTCGGATAAAGATCCACGTTTTACTACTAGGTTATGACAGAGTTTGCAGAGTACCTTGGGCACTAGATTGACCTTTAGCACGGCTTATCATCCTCAGACTGACGGGCAGTCCGAGCGTACTGTTTAGATCCTTGAGGATATGCTTTGAGGCTGTGCCCTTGACTTTAGTGGATTGTAGGAGAGGCACTTGCCCTTGGTGGAGTTTGCCTACAACAATAGTTTCCAATCGAATATTGGTATGGCACCGTTTGAGGCCTTGTATGGCCAATCGTGTAGGTCCCCAGTGTGTTGGGCCGAGGTGGGTGATGCACCTTTGTTGGGCCCGGAGTTGGTGTGGGAAACGACGGAAAAAGTTGAGCTTATCCGTAGGAGGCCTGTTACAGCCCAGAGTCGCCAAAAGAGTTATGCCGACCGTAGGAGGAGGCCTTTGGCATTTGAGGCGGGTGATCATGTCTTTCTGAAAATATCACCTAGGCGGGGTTTGATGAGATTTGGGAAGAGTGGGAAATTGTCCCCTCAGTTTATTGGCCCTTTCGAGATTCTTGGGAGGATTGGCGATATCTGGAGTGCATGACGTGTTTCATGTTAGTATGCTTCGGAAGTACGAGCTGGATTCGTCACATGTATTGGATTGGACCGACTTAGAGGTTGATGAGGATGTCTCGTATGAGGAGAGACCGGTGCGGGTCTTGGATAGGCGGGACCAAGTCTTGCGAGGCAAGACGATACCCTTGGTAAAAGTTATGTGGAAACATCACGGGGTGGAGGAAGCCACTTGGGAACGGGAATTGGAGGTTCGAGAGAAGTATCCGGATCTATTTGTGGATGTTTGAGCATATGTTGAATATTTTGTTGTATTGATAAACTTTAAGGAACATTGAATATGTCTCAAGTTGTAAAACATTGTATATGTTTCGGTTTATGGAAGTATTGTTAATGTGCCTTGAAAATGAAAGTTTAATTTAACATTGTATATGTTGAATGTATTGTAGAAATGCGAATATATCATTAACATTGAATATGTTATGGAATGATGGAATATGGTATTGGAATTTGTTGGATTTCAAGGAAAAACATGTTGTTAATGCATATTGAATTATATTGTAAATTGCCTCTTGAAAAGAGATGGGATGACCGGTAATGGGTCAGGATGTTGAATATTGAATTGTAATGTTGTTGAGAATTGAAAAATCACCATTTTGAAACTTATAACTAATTTCGGGGACGAAATTCTTTAAGGGGGGAGGTTATAACGATCTCGGTTTTCCACGTCATTTGTTGTTGTTGTCGTTGTTGTCTATATCTCGTCTTCACCCTTTAACTCTTTGAATTTGAGTTTAAAAATGTCTTGGGCGTGTTTTGAACAGGTTGGTTGAGTTTTGGTCTCTAATCTTGTTGCCCAGAATTTTGATGATCCGCTCGAGCGGGTCTTTTTGCGCTCGAGTGGAGTTTGCATCCTTTTAGCATTTTGTGCGTCTACAAAGATACTGCAGAAGTGTTTTTCACACTCGAGCGGAGTTCTTTACGCTCGAGCAGGTCTGAGCTCAAGCGGGTATCTTTGCGCTCGAGCAGGTAATTTTGCACTCAAGCGGGTAGTGTTTTGCTGTTGTGCCTTGGCGCTCGAGCGGACCCCTTTGCGCTCGAGCGGGTTTAATTTTTGGTGTCTTACGCTTGAGCGTTCTATTCTCCACTCGAGCGGACTATACGTATATCAGATCGCGACTATGTCATTTTAAATCACTTTTTCAGTTTTCTCTCTCTCTAAAACATTCCAAAACCCTAATTTGAGAGCTTTTCTCTCTAGAAAACTCTCTTTCTCTACATTTTAGCTTAGATCAAGTGATCTCTTCACCCCCCCTTCCTTCATTAAAAAGCTTGGGCTCTTCAAGACCTCCATTTTCATTCGAGTGGAAGGTGATTTCGGCATGTTTGGAGTTCTTCCCTTGCTAGTCTCGTCTTCTACACTTAAGGTAGGGATAACTACTCATTTTTATGAGCTTTAATATAGATGTTGGGCATTTTGTATAAATGGTTTGATTTGGGAAGTTAGGGTTTGAGATTTGAAATATTGAAAAGAGGGGATTTGTTCCTTTGAACTACATATGTGTATGCGGGTCTTAAAATGAGGTTATTAATGTAAAATGATGATATTTGGACTTTTGGGTCAATGTTGAGAAAAAAGGGAAAATGCCTTAGTTGGGTTTAATCGGGTCATTGATGTAATTAATGAAATTAATCATGAGAATATGAAATTGGTTTGGAAATAATAAGATTGGACAATTGTGAGATGGAATGGTGTAGTTGGATTGATTAATCACTCACCTATGAGAATATTAATAATTTATCTGTTTGATGAATTTATTATCTGTTTAGAAATAATTGCTTTTGGCTATCGATGAAAGATAGTCTTGATTGTTGTAGACACTGCTTGATGATTAGGTGAATTAAAACTAATCAATTGAGTATGTCATTGAATATGACGGATGGAACAACACATTGAATATGTGTTTTGCTTGATCATTATATATGTTAAGTGTTTAAATACATTGCATATGTATGTTGTTTGGGAGGAGATAGGGGATGTACTTCACGATTTGGGAGGAGATAGGGGATGGACTCCAGTGATAATTAAGTTGGGCGGAGTGTCCAGGGTGAAAGTTCCAAAATCTTGATTACGTTTGCATAACGTAGATGAATTGAAGTGTTGAAGTAGTACTGATATGAGTTGTAGTCTCATTTTGAATTAAAGTATGTAAATGTTAATAATGTGAGTTGTAGTCTCGTTATAAACTGTCTGGATGAATTGAGAACCATATCTATGAATTAGTTTTGATAATGAAACGAAAAAGAATTGATATATATATATATATATGTATATAGACCTGTGAACATGGTTTGGTTATGATAGAGACGTATGTCTGTTTATTTGAGTCGAACATTTATCAAATGCTAATGTTTTAGTTATTGTCCATATTATGTTTAGCATATCTCTACTGGGCGTTGACTCACCCTATATGGGACATCACTTTCAGGTTCAGGTAATATGCCACCTCCAAGGATATAGCTTGGGTGGCTTAGAGGTTGAAAGATCTTTTTGTTGTGATTTTTTTTGGTATTACATGTAAATTCAAGCCAAGGGCTTAATGTGTTTAGAGTTAAAACTCTCTTTATTTTTTGTAACCAAGTGTTGGCTTGGAAAGTTGTAAGCCCGTATGGCACCTACTTTTGTTGTCAACATGTAATACTTTTGAACTAAATACTCTGATGAATGGAAGTATGTTTTATTTTTTTATGTCTATGGATGCCATGAATGTTGGGTTTACATGTATATTTTTTAGGGCGTTACAGCTTCTGAAGCCTATTAGTTTCGTTTAACCATTTGATGGATGTTGCATCAATAATAAACCTTACTTTCAGGTTAAGGGGCTTTCAACAGAAGAACTTGTTGCTCGTAATGATTTGGTCCTTGCTCTGCTAGATAGGATTCAAGCCATACCAGATGGGACTGCAGCTGCTCCCAAACAATCTGGAGGCTGGACAGGTTCTGCTTCCCGCACAGAAATCCAGTTTGATTCAGGTGATTGGTTGGCTTTATTCTACTCTTTTTTTTCCTTCCTTTTTTCTTTTTTCTGGGAGGCTCTTACTTGAGATCTGTTGTTCAATTATTTGTTTCATTTGGATCATAGATGGACAGGTCAACAGTGAATACTTCCAGCAAACAGAAGAGTCCAGCCAATTCAAGCAAGAATATGAAATGCAGAAAATGAAACAGGCATGTAATTCTTTAGAGTTGAATACCTTTCTTTTTTTAATTGGAGGGAAATATGGTTTTTTTTTTTTTTGATGAGGATTTGTTCTTCCGTGGTTTCTGCATTCATTGTTCCATTGATTCTAAATAAAAAATAAAAATAACATGTTTTACTTTGATGTTCACACAAGACCAAGAATTGGAAGTGATATCAGAAGGTTTGGATACATTGAAAAACATGGCCCATGATTTGAATGAGGTTTGCTACTGCCTTGTGCATTTGTATCTGTTGCTTTGTCCCATTTTGTGCACATCAATTTATGACTTTGCAATTCATATAGGAAATGGATAGGCAAGTTCCTTTAATGGACGAGATTGACACTAAGGTTTGAGAACACCTCTTGTCCTGGTAATAGCTGAAGCTACAAGCATTCTTAAATTATTAATGGTGTATTTCTTCTTATAGGTCGACAAGGCGGCATCTGACCTTAAAAACACCAATGTGAGACTTAAGGATACTGTTAACCAGGTGATTGAGCTGCCACTGTATTTTCTGTATATTTGCATCACTTTGTGTGCTGCACAGAGAGAGAGAGAGAGAGAGAGAGAGAGAGAGAGAGAGAGAGAGAGAGAGATTCAGCTGTGCTATGTCGTAGATCTCTTTGCTGGATTTGACAGAAAGTTTTGATTTGTTTCAGCTGAGGTCCAGTCAAAATTTTTGTATTGATATTATACTATTGTGCATAATTCTTGGGATTGCCGCTTATCTATACAAGTAAGTTTCACTTTCTCAAAAAAATGGAAAGAAAATGTTTTATCTAATTCTTGGTAATAGCTGACATTCTTAATGGACTCTAGAAAATAATTTCATGTAGGGGTGAACTTATAGTTAGAAGCCAATAATTGAACTTATAAACTAAAGCTGAGTGCATGGTTATTCTGGTTGGATCTTCTTCTTGCTTGATTTAGTTTCTCCTGTTTGGTCAACATTTGATTTTTCAAATTTCCTTCTCTTTTGGTTTAATATTTTAAGCAGTCATTCTGATGGTTGTTGTACCTGCAGTGTATTGAAGAATTAAGATGATCAATGGGCTACTGTTTCTGCTTGTGATATTGGCTTTGTCTGGTATTGTTTTGCATTGATTGAGGCCTTGTTATGTGCTTATTTTGGAGATGATTTTTTTTGCCTACTGTGTGTATGTCTTTGCTCATACTTTTGACTACTGTTTCTATATCTTTGTCTTTCAAATACAACTTTTGGTACATCAGACATTTATGTATTAATAATGTATATTTGTTCCAGCTTTCATTTTGTCTCCTTAATTTAAGGTATTATAATTCTGTGCATATGATTAATGTTGTTGACTCCTGTAAACACCACTTATGGTATTTGTGCAACCTATAAAGGGAAGAACCAAACTTGGATGAATTTGTAGGCTAGAGTTGCATTAAGTGAAACTCCTATAAAAAGGGTAAATGACCAATAGGTCCTAATAGTTGGACTTAATTCTCATCAAGTCTTATTGAAAATAATGGATTGTTCGGGATGTCCTAAGTAAGTGCACTTTTTGACTTTTTAGACTAAAAAGTTGAGGAAAAAAATATGGTTGTTTAGGTTAACTTTTTGACTTTTTATGAAAAAATGTGTATTAAAAAATTGTATAAATTAGTGTTTAGGAGAAAATTAGGATTGGGAGTTGTGCAGCCGTAGTTTTTGACTTTTGGTGAATAGTGATAACTTTTTAACTTTTGAGTAACTTTTTGACTTTTTGACTTTTTGGCCACATGCCAAAAATATTTTTTTGTGACGATTTTTTGCATATGTTGCTAAAATTATTTTTGTCGCCGTTTTTATAAATTGTCACTAAAACTTACAATTAGTGATGTTTTTCTGTGATGAATTTTTCAAATTGTCGTTGAAAATTAGCGACTTTTTTTTGATAATTTTTGTAAACTGTTGCTAAAACTTATAATTAGTTACATTTTTTGTAACAATTTTCAAATTATTGCTGAAAATTAACAATTAGTGACGTTTTTTAATAGTATTTGATGAAAAACGCTATTAATTATCACAGGGCCTATTGGATAATAAATCTACCTATTAAAACCTACACGTAAGGCCCCCTTATAAAAATTGATCTTGAAAAATTTGCAATTAAATTCTAGGATATTTGCTGTTAGGATTAAACTAGGGATTGGCCTAGTTGAATGTTAAAAAAATGAATTTGTGCTGGTACTAAAGAGCAAGAGTTCAGGATTTTATTGAGTTGATTTACAACAAAAATTTGTTCTGCATCACTTTTTCATAGAAATCTCCTTGGGGTTTTAATTTCTTCTTGTAATTTTTTTTCCTTCATTTTTTCTTCTAGAACATTGGAAACATTATTAAGCTTGACCTTTCAGTTATAGCTGGGTTGTGATGTTAACAATTTCATGTTATGGCCCTCAAACTTACATCATATGATACCATGATATTGTAGACATTCTATTTACTACAGACAACAAAGTAGTAGAACGAGTGATATTTGGTGCTCTATGCTACAAAACCCTCCTTACCATAGAAAAGTTGTAAAATTGATCAGAATACTAGTAGCATAGGATGTGGCCAGCATTCAACAGTATAACCGTTTTTCTTTTTTTAAAACCTAAGAAGAGCTGTAAATTCAATCCGAATAATATTAGCATAGGAGGTAGCCAGTATTCAGTGGTGTTTGCCCACTTTTCTAGCTGAATAAAAATAATTATCTTTTGGGTCTTCTTTTCCCCCTTGTTAAGGGCTATTAGATGTTCCAAGGAATTAGCCTTTTCTATGTTTCTTGGTGTAGAGGGTCCAAATGTAAGCATTGGAGAAATGGATACTGCAAACATTTAGTTGGAGATGATGGAGATTACTGTGAGTAAAGAGCAACGCAAGCAGCATAAGACCCAAAGGTATAGTTGGTGATATATGATCCAAATGAGGAGAGGAGCCTTCCTTTTATAAGCAGAGGAGATTGAGGTAAAGTTACTTATAAAAATAAAAAAAAAGAGATTGAGATAAAGTTGATGTCCTTTTAGTATGTAAGTGGGCCTTGTGTTGCAATTGAAATAGAAATTATTTGTGATCAAGTTAGGATTCAATGATAATCTGATAAGGATCTTATGATGTCGATGATATCAGGATAAGTGCTTGTTGTCAATTGGTCGAAGTGAAGACATCATCCACACCCTGATGAGACTTTGCTCTTAGCCACTAAGCCACATGATTCCCAATTCTCAAAATGGATCATGACACTACTCGAAGACCACACCCTGGACACAATATTGGCCATGAAACTATCTGAAAACCACACTATGGCTTCATACCAAGCTGCAAGAGCCCCAAGTCTTACTAGTCAATTGTGGCAAACATGAGTTTGGGTGTGTGAGAGGTGAGGAGGAGGTTCTAGTCTAGTAGGAGACCCTCACTCTTCTGAAAGATAGGAGAAAGTGGCCCCTGCTGAAGGGTCTCACTCTTTTTGTCACCCTTATGAATACTATTAAATCCATGACTACAGTTACAAAATCCTTTTCCGTTAATCCTATACAGTAAAAGCATAATAAAACACTTAAATAATCAAACAGAACTCTAATGCTCTCTAAGATTAAGAATAAGATAAATAAATTGGTCACTTCGTTTGGTCCTGCAACTCCTCTTTTAACTCCGGCGTTGCTAAACTTTTATTAGATTCTTCTCCTGAGCTGTATCACATAAGTAAACATACATAACAACATTAATCGCATTCTAGCTCAAACAAGTTCATATTTGGAAATATAAGTTTACATACATAAGTTTGCACCATAATTTAATTTCAATAAAAAGATTCCTTAACCACCAAAACATTTTCTAAATTAACCTAAATTCATTTCAATTGCAAAAAAATCGTTAGTTACCAAATATGAGATCAGGCCTTGCACATAAAATTAAATTTACTCAATGTCTAGGACTCTAACATATACACAAATTTCCTAACTCATCCTAGCAACTAAAATTTAACATACTCAACATAAAATCTGTTGGAACAAATGGTCTTGAATTCTTCAAATGGTGGTCTTTGGGTCTTCAAAATTTGGCAACGATCTTGTCTATATAGAATAGAAAATTAGTGCTTCAAGTTGCGTTACTACAGGTCGCTTTCCTAAAGACAATATTTGTACTCACCAAAAGGTGTGCAGGGGGTTACAATAAATTTGCCTCCAGGATACAATGAAGCCTGATCTAAAGATCTAGTCTATCGGCGTCTGGACTGACGACAATAGATCAGAACACTCTTGATATAATCCAGAAACCAAGACACTGATAATCAAATTTGCAGAACTTGATTATCAATAAGAAAAAAAGAAATTTTCTTAAGAAACTCTTGATCGAAAATTCAAAATGAAGAGGGGGAGAGAGAGAGAGAGAATTGCAGGAATACTTTTCAGGATTTTGGATGGAATGAAATGGCTGATTTCATAGCCTATTTATAGACCTTGAAGCACCTAATCGAATGGTCATGTCCCTTGATTGCATCCGATCAGATCTGACCATTGGATCGACGATCTATGGTGCAGATCATTGTAACATCGAATAGATGCCTTGACTAATCACACCTGATCACGATCGGGTGCCATCTCATCTGTACGATCGCACGTATCTCCAATTGATGGCTATTATCAACTCGCTCCAGATTGGACACAACCGTTTGATCGGTTGGTTGACTTATCGCAACGGACGACATGCCATTGCCACGTGGAGCTGATTGTATTCCACGTCACCCATGCCACGTTGGATTCACGTCATCGCTCTAACTTGTCCGATGCAAATAGGAAACACATCACTGCCATGTAGAGCTGACTGTATTCCACGTCACCCATGCCACGTCAGATCCACGTCATCGTTCCAACCTGTTCGATGCAAATAGGAAAGCGCTCTCATGGCGCCTTGCGCCGATGCGTCTGTGCTAAGTGCAAAGTTTGCCATCAAACGCCACGCAGCCCACTGCCCACGCCACGCATGTGCGTGCGCGTGTGTGTGCGTGTGTTGCGAAGCACCATCCTTGCGGTGTGGGTGCATGCATACTAGCTTTCATCCCATAATTCCATAGTCAAAAGAATATTCCATTTAGCTTAAGTGCTCCATGTTTTGCTCTCTTTCCAATGTGGGACAAAGTCCCCAAACTTAATTAATACTTTCGAAAAAAAAACAAGGAAGGTTTTGAAAACACCCAAAAATTAAACTATAAATTTTAAAAACCATTTTGAAAATTTCCCAACATTCCCCTACCATTTTCAAAATACCAGATGATGACTCTTGGTTCACTTGGCAGCCTTATGCATAGGTGAAGATATCTTACGATTTGAATCATTCACTTAGTGACGACATCTCAAAGTTAGACAAGATGGCATAGTAGACTTGTCTTTGAATTAGCGATCTTATATGACTAACCAGACATATCTCACGTACAGTACAGATTACCTCAAGTATTCAAACAAACCGACATGTGGATTGGCCTTGTGTCTATATCTTGTTTCATGAGCGCTCTAGAGTCAAGCCCTTGGACTCATAGAAAGCGGCACCACCTCCTCCACTCACATAGGTAAGCTTACTGAGAGTACTCCTGTAATTTACAGTACCCTAACAACCCAGTTGTAAGCTTATTAAGAGTTTGCTAACTCATCCTCTTCTTTTCACATTATAGGTACCAAGCACTTCAACCTTGGGATGAAAAAGAAATAAAGCTAAGTGTTTGCAATCACGACATATGGTGTACTTGGGCTCATTGAACTCAAGTCTTGATGTTTCTTCAAACATTGAGTCGAGTTTCCATCAGGAGTGATTATGTTAAATGGGCTTAAAACCCATTGTAGACGCGCCCGTGGGCCTCATGCTACAGTTCGGACTCGATTTGTGTCACGGTTCTTAATCTGAACCAAAGAGTCCAAATCTGGCAAATCGTTTTGAGAAACAGATTTTTGAAAAAGTAGTGCCAAACATGGACTGCTTTGCCAGATACAGAGTCGCCACCTAAATATTTTAAAATGGGAGAATTTAGGAAACCCTGACTCGGTGTCGAAGGCCACGTGTCCGTCATCACCGGAGTTGTCTCGGCTCGGGAGCTTGGGTACGATCGGGGAAGGTCAGCTATGAGCACCCCCTTTCGCCCGGTCCGAAGACCGGCCTCTACTGACCACAGCCTGTTGGGCTATGACCACAGCCTGTTGCTTGGAAAATTCTGCTTGACGGACAGTGTCTTGCTGCATGGCTTTCATACTATCCTGGAGTTGGCGCACCATCTCTTCCAGACTCGACATACTGTTCTAATCTAACTGAGCAACCAGTATATCTGTGTCGGCAATAGGCTCG